TAACAAACTCAACTGGAAGACCAACTCGTGTTCTTGATGTGGGGAAAGTGTTGTTTTGTTTTGGAAACGATGGAAAGCGACCTAGCTACTACACTCTTATCGAACATGGAGAAGAGGTGTCGGATGGTTATGACCAACAAAGTTTTCCTAGCGGCAATTTTCGTTGATTAAAGGATTAACTTGAAAAATAGCCCATTCATAACGAACGAAGTAAGAGATGTAGCTTTGGTAAGCGAAATGTACAATCAAGTTGTGGTTTATTTGCTCGTTAATATGATTTTTTTTAAATTCACCGAGGGTCCACGGTACTAACACTAGAACTATTTAGAAATCTGTCGTCGCAAATTGATTGTTTCAATTCAGCATCATGGTGGCTGATATGAACTATCCTGTGGGCGCTATCTCATCTGAAGAATTCAGTTGCTGCCGTAGTAAGTTTTGTTGATTGACAGGTATTCAATACAATTCCTGAAGCAAGAAGCTTAGCAACAATCCGTAATACAGATATGACACAAATTGTTCCTAAATTTATTACTTTAACCTTAATCCAGCATTTCGTACTCAGCAAAAAAAGTTGTTGAATATTACATCGAAACTGCTGCAACCAGGTCAATCCATCGGTTGTGTAATATCACATTGTACGATGTACATCGATTTTGCGAACAAAATTACATCCATTGATGTAATATTGTATCTGCTTTTTGCTATTACATCATTATTTCATACATCAGCTTGAATTACGTTGATCGATATTACATTTTTTTTTGCTGTGTACCTACGTACACTGTGGTGCAGAGTTGATCGGACAAAGGTCGTTTTCATACAAACTAGCCAAGTTTAACATGTTATGAATGTGTTCTGTTATGATCAATTGCGCTGAAATTTTGACGCAAAACTACAAATATGTTGAATTTCACTGCTGGAAGGTGACAATAAAAATAAAATTTGTGCATAGCTGATCGGACAAAGGTCAATGGAAAAGCAAGTTTTGTGTCAAAAATTTCAACTCAATTGATCTGACAGAACACATTTACAACATGTTAAACTTGGTTAATTTTTAAGTGCAGACTTGTGTGTATGCAATGAGAAGTCACCACCAACGTTTTTGCAGCAAAGTACACTTCTGCGTTGAAAATAATCCCTTAAAATAGTGTTCACTCAAGCCAGACAAATAAAAATATTAATCTTCAGAATTCTATCATTACTAGCGTGTTGATATGATCGGTCAAGTCAGACCGAAATGTGAATTTTTTAATTTGATTTTGAGAAAAACGAATTTAAAGTTGGCTGTTCAATATTGTGTCTTATGTAATGGGAAAAATCTTTTGACCGTTTTCTCGTGCTACTCTAATTTCTCAAATCTGGCTGAAAAATTGGAATGTAGCTGAGGGAATTCTTGATCTTATGATATCATTAACTCATTTTTTGTTTTTATTTTGCTACTTAGTCCCTTCTGACTTAAGGCCGTCCATATGATCTTGTATAGTATAGTGCTGTTTTACATTCAAAATCGTCCATTTATATTTTTACTGGTCTGAGTAAAAGTATTCTGAGGGATTCTGAGTTTAATTTGGTGCAAATGCGCAATAACTTGTTTATTTTTCCACCAAATGGGCTGAAAGCATCAGAGGCTTCCAAAAAATGTATTTTAGAAGGTTTCCACATAAGGACTTGTTGAAGGACACATAGTTCCACAGATATTCCGTTATTATTTGGGTGCTAACATGCTAACGGTATCCCAACTACCGTAAGGTTGCCATCCACCGCTCACGTAGCCTTCCTTTACCTTCCTTTAGCATCCTTTCGACAAGCAATTGCGTCTTCCTAGGATCATTAGTGGTGATCTTACGGTGATTCCAGTATATCTCTGGAATCATGAGTTGAGTCTGCTTGAATCTATACTAGAAGATATTTCTGGAACCATCTAAAAACTTTACCCGATTTTAAAATCCACATGTGCAAAGGGCCACAAGTCTTCTGTGAACAAACCCTTGCAGTCCCTTATCTCGTCACCCGACAACATCACTTATGATGGGACCGCGAGAGTCAAAGCATGCGAAACAGCGCACGGCGATGGCGCCCTGAGAGAGCGCATTGAGATGTTTCAATGAAACAGTCGCATGTGATTGACTACATGCGTCGCATTGACGAGTGCACGGATGGATTTGAGTTCACTCACTCGACAAAAAGTGACACAACAGCGGGGCCCTGTTTACTAAAAATGAACACATGAATAATACTCACGTAACATTTGAAACGGGTCTATCAACTTATGTACACAAAACTTGTTAAGCCTTTTTCGCGCGAACCGAATACGCTCACGTAAACTAACAACACCATCGTGCAGAGGAAATGCTCCCCTTCCCGATAGTGCTCTTGGTTTGCGTGGGCGTACTTCGGTTCTCGTGAAAAGGACCTAGCAAATTATTTACAAAAGTTTATAGGCCCTTTTGAAATGTTACGAGAGCATTATTCATGTGTTCATTTTTAGTAAACAGGGCTCCGCTGTTGTGTCACTTTTTGTCGAGTGAGTGAACTCAAATCCATCACTCGTACTCGTCAATTGAGAGAGCAATGCGATGAGACAAACAAAAATTGAAACGTTCGAATTTGTGGAGAGCGTGTAGCTTGTCGCGCGCATCGTTCTGGTCTCTCTTGTGTACAATAATGTAGCACACCATGGATTTGAGAGTATCCCTAATAAAAATTGTATGGTTAATTTGATTAACGACGTGTTCTGGGTATCATCCAAACCATTTGTGGAATAGTTCAATGATTTGGGTTATTGTTCGTTTATGGTTATTTTTTATTAGGGATGTAATGCGACGCTCCGTCTCACAGCTCGCTGTCGCATTTGTGTGAAATTTAATCTAGATGGCCCTGATTGCTGTGCACATTATTGGCACGATCTGCGGAAGAATTCCGAGGTGGAGTTGAGCAGAAATTTTGGAGGTGGTAACCTCATTGTGTCGGCAGCTTTTTCGCGTATAGGAAAAACACCGATACCTACAATTTCTACCAGAATGAACTCTGAATGCTATGTGGAGCTCCTGGACGATGTTTTGATTTCATTCACCGAGGACGTCATGGACAATGAATTTATTTTTCAACATGACAATGCCACAATCCACGTGTCAGAAGTCAAAAACATGGTTTGCAGAACGATATATCCAGCTTTTGGACTGGCCAGCGCGAATTCCATTGAGAATCATCGGGGAATTCTGGCAAGGTGGATGGTCGGCAGTTTCCGACCATTAATGCACTACAAACAGCATGAATGGCGTAATATTCCATTAAAAATGTTGGAGAACCTCGTTGATTCCATGTCGAAACGAATTTATGAAACAATTCTGAAAAACGGTAAACAAACCAAATACTAATTTTTGTAATTCATGGTTTGAATAATAAAAAGAAAGCTGCGCTTATAAGAATTTCCATCCTTAAAACATGTTTAATTATTCTAAGCAAATATTGAGAAAGAATATGAAACCGTCTTATAGCCGAAATAACCGATTAGTCTAACATCTTACATGTACAATACTGGAGTTTTGTTTTGGACATGCTTACAACCGAAAAATGCCCTTGCGCTTATATGAATTTTTTGACACTGTATATATTTAAAGCATTTCTCACGTGAAAACACTTGAAGATTACACGTAATCACGTAATATGTTTAATTTATCTTCCATCCACATATTTTTCTAAAACAAGTAACGAAAACGAGCCATAACGCATATTAAACAAATTGAAAGAGCGGTGATAGAGTGTCGGTGAAAGGGATTGAAAGCCATAAGGTTTTTAAGTTTTTAAGCTTTTTCAAATCTGATATGATGCGACGAAAAAAACTGCATTCGAATTTTTCGAAAATCCATCAAAGTAAATTGAACCATAAGGAGGTTTCGTTTCATCTCGATAATCGATGTTCGCCTTTCATTCTAAGCGTGCTTCTGTTTCATTTCCGTTTCGTGATAGTCTAGCTAGGTATTAGAGTGGGTGAGCCAGTAATGGAGGAAAACAATTTATTTATTAAAAAATTAATAAACGATGTACGTACAATTTTATATTTATATTGTTTTTATATGTCAAACTATAGACAAATATTACATCGTAATTAAATTGTATATATTTTTCGAAAACTTGTCCTCCATTAATAACAACACTGTTCCAGTAGTAGTGGTACTTGCTAACTTTGGTTTCTATAATAGTGAAACGCATTTTTTTCTTATGGGTTCCACTATGTTAGAAACACTATCGCAACTATAGGTGCATAGGACTCAAAATCTTAAGGAAAATAAATTGTTATCTGTCATTTTTTGGGCTATTTTTAAGTTTGAAAAATGCAAATCTGCTTTATTTTAGGAGAGCTATCGATGAAAAATAACCTTATCCGGTTTTCCCTCGTTCTTTCGACACAGCCCCATACCGCAACTATAGGTACACCACTATTACTGGAACACCTACCCTATAAAAATTATGCGTTGAACACGTTGTATGAAAGCTATAAAACTAGAGTTCATTTTAGAGCTTCAAAAATGTAGAGCCCAGGCACCCAAGAAATATCCGAGATTATATTATCCGGATAGAAAACTGATCGATACTTTAGAGTCAGTTGTGGCCAGGGATAATATCCAACATATTTCTATCAGAATACATCTACAATATGGGTATTTTCGGAACGGAGACGATTGTCAACAGTTTACTCTTCCTACGGTACACCATATGCGTCTTGATATGATGATTGCCCGATAGGTGCAAATGTTTAAAAATGTCCTGTATAACAATTAACACATTCTGAATCAGTCTTTCTGTATTTCTTTATTTGGAGGAAAAACGCACACAAGTCGAACGAAGCATAGTTTTGATTGTATCAGGATGACACTCAAATGTATTTGACGAAGAAATTGCAATAGACTAGATATGTCTAAACTTCAGTACTACCACAACCACAAACCAAACATTGACGTCACCACTTGAATAAATCCTACTCAGAATCTACTTACTTATATTGCAAGTCTTTCCCGCGTAACCCTCATTGCAGCGACAGGTCTCTGGTGCAACACATACGCCATGCTTGCATCCAGTGATGCACGCTGGTACACACCGATCTCCTTGCTGATTCTTCTCGTACCCAGTGCAACACTTCTTCAATATCCTCTCCTTGGTTACGCTCGTAGTTTCGTTTACAGTCTTTGTCTTGACCCGATATGCCGAACAACGCGGTGGAACAGCCACACACCATTTCTGATACCGTTCCTGATAGGTCACCTCTCGCGGGGCGGTCACAAACAACTGGTATTGTTCCACTTCTTTGCACACGTTTGGCCCGTCCAGCTCGTCATCGACCACTAGTTGATCTAGCTGCTGACCGGCTACCGAAACGACCAACAAGAACAACAACACACTTAAACATAGCGTCCTAACATCTAACATCAGTCGTATGGGTTTCATTTTCACTTGATTTGATTCAACTCAACTCTCTTGCAGCGAACACAGGGTCAACTGATTTGTATAGAAATATTTAATAATTCAATCACTTTAAAATAAATTGGAGCGAATACTTTTATTAATTGACATTTAAATGCAACCGTTTGATATCTGTTCACATTCTACACTGTACTGTAATGTAAACAGTGCATTCTTCCGTTCCTACGAGATCCACTTGAGTCACACTTGCTTTCTTCGTGCTGCATTCCACACTTTTCCACCGTCCAGCAGCCTCTGTTCGATCGTTACACAATTTCATTCATACAGACTCAAATGCTACTAAACACTGCTCACTACGGATCGATGGCAACTAAGAGAGCCTGCTTCTGATCTGTTTACTTATGATTCACTCAGCGTCAGCCCTGTTCAAAGCGATCAGCACCACCGCAAAACACCTCTCGCGTTTCGTAATCGATCACCGACTACTGATCATCGTCACTTGCTCCAACCTCTGCTGCACGCTGTAGATTGGTTCGAGACTGATGTGTTTCCCTTGATAGCGACTTCCAAATGAAAGTGAAGCAGGAAGAAAGAACTCTGCCTGTGTGTTGGTGCAGAACAATACGACAACAGCACTACTGACGATTAAAGTAGCTGCAATTTTTCAATTTGTTCTCGTAGGTACCTACTTAGAAGCGTTGAAACTGTACTTCCTCGAGAGCGTGTGATAACGGATAACTACAACTCACAATAGCATTGTGTATCATTCGCAGCAGTCAGTGGTTGTAGTTTATCGTGTGTGTACACTCAACACCATACGAATATGATCAACGCAAACTGGGCGACAGCAGAGATTTACTTTCGATCCTTTGTTTACTGTGGCACTACTACGGGCGTAGTTGTAGTTGGTAGCATCTTTGGCATTTGTTTGTTGAGATAACGGTAGTTCTCCATCTAGTTGTTGTTTGCCTGCAATGGAGGAGAGATGAAAATAGGGACAATTAGTACTAAGTTACATTACATTACACACGGCACACAGAGCAAGGCAATTGTAGATTCAAATGAGCAATAAAACTGGCTGAAGGATAAACAGGAAATTGCTGATTAGATAGATAGCATCATTGGTGCATATGAACCTGGTTTTGAGAATGATGATGGTATGTGAAATGCATCGACAACAATCGAACTGATTTTCTAAATCCGAACAATTTTGATTGCATTCAGTTATATGTATAACGGAGATTTCTATACAAAGGCAATAGTTACAAAAAATATATATATATAATCGTTCAAGGTCTACTGGTTTATATGGTATTGTACAAGAGCATCCCCGTACGTTCAAATAAGACGTCATGAATTTATCGCCTGTCGCAAATACAGTGAAGAAAACGTGATCGGAGATGCTCATGTAGAGTAAGACGGTGCAAGATCGCCACCCGGGGCATGATGAGCACCGTTCAATTTTACTTAAACAAAGATCCTAAGTTGCAGTTCCAAAAATGATTTAGAAATATTCAATAACTACCTATAAATTGATGAAAATATGCCAGCACGAATAAAATCCTCTCAAAGTAATAATAATTTGCTCAAATCGATTTCCTTTTTTGAAATTTCATTTGTTATAACTGTCAATTAATGTTTCAACAAATTCTGCTGTAGGTGCAAGAAATCCCCCGGGTGTAAAAAAGCTACTTTTCGAATTTATTTTGTTAATAGTCAAATTTGAATACATTAACTACATCAAGACCAACAACTGAAAAAATCAAGCAAAGCCTCGTATGCTTCACCTCTTCGCATTTTTAGTCAGAAGCTGCGCAAATCTGAAAATTTAACTCGATGCTTGCTTCTCTGATGCAATATGCACTGAGTAGCATATGCACTCTTTGTATGGGAGATCTGTTTTATTTCAAGCTGGAATTAGAGCGATGAGCTCAAGATTAATACACAAAGACTTCTGAACTTACCCTCGAAATATGTGTGATTTGCTTCAAAAGGTCTCAGCTAGATTTACCCAATAAGATTCACTAAATATGAATTGCAAGATCTAAAGGCTTACCCTATGAATTCTGGACAACTGGTCATAAAAGGCCTGTTATAGGTCCCAATAGCTGACCTACAAGGTCTCGTTAGTTAAAATATTGTTGGCCAATGAAATCTAAGAAGACGATCCATAAAACTTCTACACTGAAATTTAAATTCATTTCTTAGGCCTGTGTTTCCAGCAAGGACATCTGGAATTGATTCATGAGGCACTTAAATTTGATGTTATATCCTTTGAAATCAACTCATATCAACCGAACTGTATTTAAAATAAAAAATTATATGAAAAATACGGTTTGAACTAAAACGAGAAAATGGGTGATTTTCAAGTAAATTTTCTCAATTTGTTTGTGCTTGCCATACAATCTATGTAAAACTTCATGCATGGTTGTCATAGAAAGCTCTCAATTAACAGTCATAATAGCGAACGTGCAAAATGCATGTCGATGCTGTGTACAAGCTCGCTTCTCGGTAACGGAACTGTCGTGCTGTGTCACAGCATCGACACGCAATGTACAGGTTCGATATTATGACAGTTAATAACTGTGGAAGTGCATCAAACAGACTAAGTTGAGAGCCGAATATAATCATCAAGGCTATAGAAATGCCAGAATTGTTCCAAAAACTAACTGTATTCGAGCTATGGAACCTCGGAAGTCGACTTAGAGCATCTCCACCACAGTCGGAAGGAAAGGCTGTTTGGTGAGTAAATGTGAATTAATTGTTTTTTTAATTACATGTTTTTTAAGGAAAGTGAACGAGTTCGAAGAAAGATCCTGGCAGGGAGTCCAAAGCTGGATCCCGGCAGGGAGTTTGAAGTCAGATCATTCAAGAGTGAATGTGTTTAATAAAATTTAAGAGGATTGGAAGTGAACCTCGATGGGGAATCCAAGATCCGTCTACGGAACCTTTCATCGAGATCCTTCTACGTAACCCGTCATCGAAATCCGTCATCGGGATCCGTCTACGGAACCCTTCATCGGGATCCGTCTATGGAACCCGTCATCGGGCTCTTATAGCCCATAAGATCTACACTCAAAAAAATCCACACGTCAATGCTATTCCGGAGATGAACTAGCCATAGGCTAAAAATCTCCTTAATAAAGAACTAAAAAAAAACACGTCTATGCTACGTGAAAAATTACGCAGATTAAAAAAAATGCTTTTTTATTCCAGTTTATATGACAAAGGTAATAATAATCGGACTTTGGTTGTAATATTAAATGAAGCGCCAGTTAATGCCAATGCTAACTGGCGCTTCATTTAATATTACAACCAAAGTCCGATTATTATTACCTTTGTCATATAAACTGGAATAAAAAAGCATTTTTTTTAATCTACGTAATTTTTCACGTAGCATAGATGTGTTTTTTTTTTTTAGTTCTTTATTAAGGAGATTTTTAGCCTATGGCTAGTTCATCTCCGGAATAGCATTGTCCCATTCTGCCTTACGTGAAAATCACGTACTTTTTTAAATCCATTTTAACAGCTGCATTCCGCGTTCATTCTGTGTATGAAGAATAAGCAAAATGGCGCCTGTTGAAAACAAACTGCAAGAGCTGCTAGTGGATTTAAACATCACGCAACATTTATTAGAAATATTTGATGGTAAAAACGGTTTAATGTGAGATTGTATCTTATATTGATGTGTCTTTTTTTGATTTGAATAGAATGTGGAGTCGATTTTGACAAGCATTGACGTGTGGATTATTTTGAGTGTATCAGTGATTTAGAGCTACTTAAAGAGATATATGGAGATGAACTAGGTTTACTCATAAGGCCTGTGAACTTAATCCATATAGCTTCTGATATAACCTAAGATATGTCTATCTATATGTAGACTATAGTCAGCTCATTGAAAAAGCGTCTCAAATAGGCTTGATATTAATCAATTATTATTATTAATAATAAATTAGGAGTTAATGCACAATGCAGAAGTCAGAAGAATGAAGTTAACCCACAAGATCTCTGGGTTTCTGTAGTTGAACTCTTTTAAGATGATTGATAAAGCCCCTAAACTCAACCCGTAAGGCCTGTGCAGCCTGTGCATGTAATTTGTAACTCACCACTCTTAAGGCCTCTGGAGCTAATGGAAGACACATTTGGAGTTGATTAAAAACGTCTCTAAACATAGACTGTATGGTCTGAGGAATTGACTTGTAAGGTCTTTGATATTAACCTGTACGGCATACAAAGTTGCTGTTGATAAATACAACCGTTGAGGATAAGCTCTATAAAGTTAACGTTGAAGATATTTAAAATTGCCCGATAGAGGTACAATGAAATGCAGTGGCGTTTCCTTAACCTCAATGTACCTGTGCACCAACTCTCAAAACATAAACAATTATCAAAATCTTGCGTGCAATGGATAGATATCCAGTAAACTAGAAGATTACGTGTATTTTTCAACCGATTCGAGTATGAATATGGCATTAAATCTGGTTTTAAAATAATCCAGAGGCGTCGCGTGCCTCATTTGTTTACATGTGCACCAAACTTTGTTCGTTATAGGTAGTTTACCACCACATATTAGTTTTTGTTTTATTTTTCAATGCTCCATGAATTCGAGGGAAATATTCTCAATTACTTTATCAATCACTTCCTAACGTAAAATTATAAGGTCCTAATAACAACAAAAATTGTATGGCCCTAGGAATTGCAAAACTTAACTAATTATCGTTTTTATCACAAGGCTAACTCTTTCGACTGAAGTGTAATGAAGAATATCCGTCAAACATTTTTTGAAACAAAACAGTGTCAAATCTAGAGAAAATTCATGAAGTTAGCAAACTTGAATTAATCAACTGTGTATTCATCAGAACAACGCTATCAGGATGAACCAGGGGAAGCTCATAAGTTTTGACAGGCGCACCGGCGCAACCATCCACGGAGATGAAAAACTACCCAAAATTAGGTACTTTTCCCTCAATTCCGCCCAATTACCCAAATTTGAGTAAATCGCATATAGTAAATTCCATTTAACACCAGCAAAAAAATTACCTACTCTTAAGTATATTCTACCCAAAATTAAGTTTAATTCACGTAAATTTGAGAATAAGCAATTTACTCAAAAGTAACTTATTGGGCTGAACTATATCGTTGGGTCGAATCTCCCGTTCCTTTTTTTACAACAATAATGAGTGCAAGTGAGAGGCTGAAATCAATATTATCAATATTAAATAGTATTTTTTCTCCGTGTCGGTAATTGAGAGATTTACAACTGACAAGAGAGTGAGAGCGAGCTTTTGCGTTCTCTTTCTCCATTACTCTATTTGCCAGCAATCAGATATCCAAGTGCACAGCGAGAAATGCACGCTTTAGGCGCCCATACATTACATATGTTCTTCTATGTTTAAACTCACACATTCAAACCGGTCTGCAAGTTTGATACATGTCCAAAGCGTAGCAGACTGCTCCCGTTTGACGCGTAACTGCTGAAAGTTTCTATTACAACTAGTGGTGCAAACCGCCATGTATTGTGAAAAATTTGTGGTATGTCACCATCTAAAAAAGCTCGCTTTTAGGTGAACTATTTAACGAGTTTTGTCATGGTAGTGATATCGACATGCTTAGAAATCGATGCATTAAGCTGAGTTTAGACTAGGCAAGTCATTTGATCAACAATTGGCTTGAAAAGTTGAGCCTGGTTCAACTTTTTTCAATTCAAGTGAGTTGATCAAGTCAGTTGAATTGCATGGTTTACACGTTCAATTCTCGTTCAAGTCAGTTGAATTCAACTGACTTGATCAATTGACTTACCCTGTCTAAACCCAGCTTTAGGGATTAGGCAGACCATCCGAACTGAACTGAATCCTTTTTGATGCAAATCAAGGTCGAAGATTTAATTGAGCCACGCTATAAAATAGTGTATTCATGGTCACTTGTGGTCTGGCGTAAAGAAGTACAGCTATAATGTGACCATAATATCT